CAAGAATACCACTCCTAGATATTTACTAAAGAGAAATAAAAATGTGTCCACAAAGACATAACATGTTCGTAGCAGTCTTACTCAGCATAGCCAGAAACTGAAAACAACCCAAATAACGATCAAAAGAACAAAAGAACAAACAGTAAACAAGTTGGGATTATTCATACAGGAGATACTCATTAGAAATAGAAAGGGGAAACAGAATACATGTAACAGTCTGGACAAATCCCCCAGAATTATGTTCAACAAAAGAAGCCCTTATCCCACGCTTGATGAACTTCCCCAGAGAGGCAAATTTATGATGGTGGAAGGGAAAAGCCACTGAGGACGTAGAGAGCATCATGGTGGCAGCATCATGGGAACAAGAAGGGATGAAGGGACTTTCTAAGGGGATGCTAATGTTCTCTACGCTGTTTAGTAATGGTTACACAAGTGTCTACAATTGTCAAAAGTCATCAAATTGAATCCTTATCTGTGCTTTGAACTGCATCATATTTAAACTACAACTCAGTAATAATAGCAGGTTCTTGTACCAGTTTTGGTCTGACTACAACCTCTTAGCTAGAAGAATCTAAGACCACTCCTCATCATTAGTACTAAAGTTGTATGAAAGTAATACATTCCTACAATGTTTGAGAATGACTAGGATTCAACTGTCACTTAAGAAGAGACACAGGGTAGTTAAAGAAGCAGTAAGTTACATAATAAGGAAAGATTAGTAAAAAATAGCTTGCTAAGAAAGGCAAATCAAGAAACGGTAACTCAGCCGAGCTCTGGTAGCTCACGCCTGTAATCCTAGCTACACAGGAGGCAGAGATCAGGAGGATCATGGTTTGAAGCCAGTCTGGGCAACTAGTTTGTGAGACTCTATCTCGAAAAACCCATCATAAAAAAGGGCTGGTGGAGTGGCTCAAGGTATAGGCTCTGAGTTTTTTTTTTTGCTTCTCCAGTACCAAAAAAAAAAAAAAAAAAAAAGAATTGTTAGGAGCTAGAAAAATAAGAACTAAAACTTAAATTAGTAGAACAGAAATAAATGAAATGGAGACAAAAAAAATTACAAAAGATAAATGAAATGAAGAGTAGGATCTTTGAATGACTAAAACAAAAATCCAAAAAACTGATTAAATCCTTAGGAAGCCTAAGGAAGAGAAGACTCAAAATCAAATAGGTAAATCCATTTCATAAATAAAATGAAGGATACATACGAACTGACACCACAGAAATATCTTTAGAGATTGCTGGTACACCCAACAAATTTGGTTTCACAGAAGAAATAGAAAAATTTTTGGACATACATACCTTTCCAAGACTGAATCATATAGAAAGCCCATATACACCAGTGAAAAGACTAGATTACAAATAAAAATTAGGGGCTGGTAGAGTGGCTCAAGTGGAAAAGTGCACGCCTTGCAAGTTTGAGGCCTAAGTTCGAATTCTAGTGCCGCCAAAAAAAAAAAAATTACCCTATCAAAGAAAAACTTAAGACCAGAAGGCTTCGTTACTGAGTTTGCCAAACATTTAAAGAAATTATACCAATTTTTAAAAAATCATTTCCAAAAAAATTGAAGAGGAAAGAATTCTTTCAAACACATTAAAAGGGCCAGCATTACCCTATGCCTAAACCAGATGAGGACATAACAAAAAAAAAGAAACCTTAGGCCAGTATCCTTCATGAACGTGGTCACAATAGTCCGAAACAAAACACTAGCAAACAGAATCCAACAGCACGTTAGGAAGATTAGATAACAGAATGAAATCCCGTCATTTGTAACCACACAAATGAAGTGGTGTTCGTTATGTTAAGTGAAACAGCCAGGTGCAGAAAGACAAGTACCACATGAGCATATTCACATGTGCAATCTAAAAAATCTCGTCTCACAGAAGTTGAGTGCAAATGCCAAAGGTTACTGGGGGTAGGAAGAACAAGGGAAAGGCAAGGATGGTGAAAGGTTGGCCAATGGGTCCTAAGTTAGAGAGTCAGAAGTTTGGTGTGCTACTTCACAGTAAGGTCACCATAGAAAAGTATGTTCTGGATAGCTCCAAAAGCCAGAAGGAGTTTGAATGCTTTCACCATAAAGAAATGATCAATGTTTGAGATGGCTATGTTTAACCTAATTTAAACATCACACAATGTATACATGTATTGAAACATCACATGGCACTCCATTAACATATATAATTTTTATGTTTTACGTATTATTAAATGAAGAAAAAATAATAATTGGTTACATTTCACAATTTCTTTCCTTTTAGTCACTTACAGTTTCCCCTCGAGTTGTGCTATTTTCCCCTGAGACTCTTCCAGACTCCTCTGAGTGATCTGCAGCTTCACCTCCATGCCTTCTTGTTTAGCCATCATACTCTATACAACAGACGAGTCCATTTTAGAAAATGAGGAACATGGAGCTCCCCAGATCCAGACAACTCACCAAAGGCAGCACTCACCCTCATTCTTGTTTCTCTTTTGTTTTTAAGCTTCATCAGCTCTAGGCTTAGAATTCTCACATTCTTCTGGTTACCATCTTCAGTAAACTAAGTATGACAAACACATAAAAAATTCAGAGTATTTCATACAAAAATCACTTAAATGTTGATTACCTACCATCATGTCTATTATTTGCCCGTAGTGTACTTCAGTAGAGAAAACAGCTTTCAACCAGTACAACAGCTGATTGCCTGCTAGTACTGTTCTGTCTTTTCCTGAATGTGACCTTCTGGTTTATTTCTGAAGTAGTTTGTGTGGTCACTTACCTTTATATGCTGGAAAGTCCGTTGCAAACCTCTTAAAAAGGATTTACTGAAATGTGCTTAACAAAATTAACGTTAAATTGTTTGGTATATCTGATATATGCAGAATATAGGGGCCCATTCTAGGCTTACTAAATCAGAATCTCCTGGGATGAGGCCAAGCAATCTGCTCCCTTCTCAATGTCTGATTCTAATGCACTTTTACTCCCTTTGTAAGCAAAGAGCCCAGCACACTATTATTAATCTGAACAGTGATTTACCTACTCCTTTAACAAGTGGATTATGTTAAGCCCTTTAAGATCTACTAGTACATTAATTACTGATAAACACAAATTTACTGAATATATGTATTCCACGAATTAATTCCCACTACATTCCCTAAAGAATCTAAGATGGAAGCCTGCTTTTATGCTATTATTTATTACAGAAAAACTTTTTTTTTCTTTGAGACAAGGTCTCACTATGTAGCCTGGCCAGGCCTTGAACTCACTATGTACCCCAGGCTGGCCACAAACTTAGAATCCTCCTGCCTCAGCCTCCAAGTGCTGGGATACAGGCAGATCTTACCATGTTTGGCCAGAGAAAGATCTTTCAAGTGACTTCAAGTGACTCTATCATTTTTATTAATGGTCATATTTTGAAGAGTGAGAAAATGTCAGACATAAAACACAGTAATTTGTTTGTTTATAATCTCTCATGTTCCAGGCACCCTACCTAATTAAAAAAAAAAAACAAATAATCCTCTTTGAGGTAGGTTAATAATTAAAATACATTTAGTCAAGGAAATGGGCTAAAATGGAGCCTTTAGTTTCCAAACAACTGTGATAAGAAACATGATAATTATTTATTCAAGTGTTTTCATGAGGTTCGAATACCTTAGACTTTAACAGTTCATTGGTCCTGGATAGTTCAATAAGCTGTTTATCCAGTGAAGCATTATTTGCAGAGAGAGCTATTTTTTCCCTGACTGCAGCATTTAGCTTTGCTTCCATCTTCTCCAACTCAGACTCCATATCCTGGATCCGTCTGTTCTGAGTGCCACGCTCCTGAACAAGAACACGAATCTGGAAGAAAACAAGGTGATAGATAAATGATTCACTGATATAATGCCAATTTGGCTTGTAAACATGTTTTGTTCTGATTACTTTTAAAGTTTTCAAATTGGCATTGATCAAATATTAGGAAGTTTCACATACAAAAAAAAAAAATAAAGTAGATGCTACTGGTAATGAAAGCTTCTAGAAAAGCCACGTGTTTTAACATTATGCTCATAGATATTCTAATTTTACTAGCTTTGTGAATAATCATATTTGCCATCTTAAAAATGTATTTTAAGAAAAGAGTGATTTTGATTTCAATAAATTTACGAGTTCAATATAGCTGCTTATTTGCTTCGAAGGTATAAGGTTCTTGCTTTCTCTAGTTCTAATTACACAAATTCAACTTACATTTTGAAATGCTAAACATGGTTTTTATCTTAAGGAGGCAGAGCTTCTAGGAGAAGCTTCTGTAGAATGTAGTAGTTGTTACGTCAGCAAGTCATCAGTCCTGTTGCTACTACTGGATTAACAAACAACAAAACGAAAAGACTAGTACTTGCCAAAAAAAATGTGTAAGCCAGAAGAGAAATAAATGACACCTAAAATGTTTTTGGGGAAATCTGCCAACCTAAAATTCTATACCCAATGAAATAACTAATAAAAATGATCAGTTCTAATCCTGGGACTGCCACTCACCCGATGTCAGAGACTCAGTTATTACATGCATAAATATCAACCACATATATCCTTATAGGCATGGATCCTCAATAAATGAAGCTAGTATTATTTAAGGAAATAAAACACATCAGAGCAACCAGAGTAGAGATCTGCAATTATCTTCACACATTCTTGATCCTAAGCCAGCATTTAACTGTAATCATATGCAAATCTTAATATATTAAAAGAATAGTTCACCAGAAGAGTTGGTCAATAACAGAAACACAGAAAAGACTGGAAAAGAAGGAAAGTTGCAGTGAGCAGCTTGGCACTGGATAGGAAGGCAAGTGGATTCTTTAGGTCAGCATTGCTAAACAGAAATGGTAAAAATGCACTGTCTAATATGACAGCCACTTGCTCCATGTGGCAACTGAGTTCTTAAATATGTTTAATGTTATTTAATTTAAAAACCACTTTATGAGTTGAGTGGCAATCCTATTAGGCAGCATACCTCTACTTGAGGAAGGCATATGTTATTGTGCAGAACAGTGCATCACGTTAACAGAACTTCATCACAATCCAACTAATCCGCTAGGGTTGCATGTTCAACAAACCAGTTCACCAGTTCTCCCTATATTGTCTTAACACAGATTAGCATATAGGAAGAGTGTGTGCTTATAAGTAAGTATCAATATTCAATCCCCATAATCTTAATATATAATCTTAATCTTATGAAATGTACACACATTTATTGGTTTTCCTGAAGTGGGTTGTCTTGAATTTGTCCCTTGTCATGCTAACAAACTTGACTTTGTCAGGATATCACAATGACATAGTTCAGATAGGCTGTGATGTATGATAATCAAGCCAATAAGCCATTCCTGTCAGTACTGGTATGGACAGCATGTTTACTTCATTGCAGGACTGCTCAAAGTGTAACAGAATCTTAGTCTCTCACTCTAGAATTCTTCCCATTATCTAGCACATTTAATTTATTTTGCAGTAAGTTGAAAGCTTTGCTTACCTCTCTTTCCAGTCTCTTCAAATCTTTATCATTCTTTTGAGATTCCTTCTGTTTTAAAGTAAAAAAAAAATTTACAAATAAACTTAAGTGTCAAGAATATCACAACCAAACTTGATTTCTACTTACCAGAAAAAAAAAGTTCTAAACAGTTAATTTCTAATTTATTTATTTACTTATTGGTCTTTTGAGGCCCAGGGTGACCTCAAACTCACAATACTGTCTTAGCCTCTACCATGCTGGGATTAACAGGCATGTGCCACTATGCCCGTTTTAATTTTAAATACTGCAGTGAGTCTATGAAATATTTTTATAGGTCTTTTATCTGGTACATGAAGAAAAAGGTTCTTAAAACCTCACATTTAAAAGATTTCAATCTGAGCAATCTATAGCTTTTCCAAAGAAGCCCAATGAAAAGAAAAGAAAATAGATGGAGCTTCACGGATAAAGCTATTAACTGGAACCTCTGATCTAAAGATAAACAGCAACACATTTTGAGTACTTAATTATGCTGTCTCATAGAGAAAAGAGCCCTCCCAAATGAAATCAACTTAAACTTTTACTATTCAAAGAGAAAAACAAATATTCAGTTTCAAAGAATTAAAAAAAAAAAAAACTCCAACAGTTCAATCTTTGATTCTAATTTCTTCATAGCATTTATTGTAAATAAGATATACTTTCCACACTGTATCTTTTCATTTACAACAGTCTTTCTGACACAATGGCTAGAAATAGAGTATTTTTGCCATCTAAAAATGGAAGAAAATGCACAGGCATCTTAAGCAAAATCGGTTCTATATGTTTCTAAGTTTGGGGAAAGGCACACCAACCTCATATTTATTAATTTCAAAAGTGATGGCATTTTCTGTTGGAAATGGTCTTTTATTGGGGCTTCTATATACAGTTGTATGTAATTAGCTTTCTATGGGAGTTTGTGAATTCTATAACTAGTGAGAAATTTCAGAATTGCTTTTCCAGGAACTCAAGTCAAGCCATTTACATTCATTTCTAAAAAAGAGTGTTTATGTCTGCCCTGTCCAAAAAAAATACAATTCAAGCCATATATATTAAATTTTCTAATAGTCTTGGTATAAAACTATTGAGGTATTTTATGCTTATACAAAATTTCCATGTATTTCACACCTATAGAATATCCAATTCAGATAAAAAATTTTCATCAGAAATATTTGTAAATAGTAATAGTAGCTCTTGCAAAGGCAATATCAAAAGCTACTAAGAATTTATTTTCCCACCACTTAGCAGTTTCTGAGTACCAACCTTATTTTAGGCATCAGAATTTTCCTTTTTCTTCACTAATACCTATCCTTCCTCACAAACAAAAAGACAAATAAACAGATGAAACAACTCACAGTGGTAACTGACAAATCAAAGCATCACATGATTTTTAAGGGCTTACAAGGTAAGGTAAATTTATCTAGATATAGAAATGACTAAGAAGTGGTGACCGTTTTATAATTGTGAACTAAGGGTACATTTAAACAGATTTGGTAATGACCAAGGCAGAATGTAAAACTTGCCTAATGATAACTTATCTCAAAAATTGAAAGATTTATTTATAACTCTGATTCATACACTTGTCCACTCAAATCAAATGCAATGCCTTTTCTAGAAGACTGTTGTTAAGCCATCTGTCATATAAAAGTTCCTCACCTTGAATTCTGAAGTCCTAGCTCTTTTAGCTGAAGTAGGCATGGTAGTATCTGTGTCAGCATTAAGATTTTGTTGAGATTCTGCAAAAAAATGAATTGAAACAATCATGGCCATTTACACACTTTAACCACATATAAAGCAACATAAAATTCTTTTTTTGATTATACATTTCCAAGTAACTAATTGCATGACATTTACCATACATCTAATATCTTTCTGATTTTTCTAATATTCCAACAGAAAGGTTAAGGTAATTACCAAAATGGAAAGTATGTATCTATGTAGTGTTTTGCTTAATTCTCCTAGTTATACACAGTATAAAGATGAAGCATTATTCTGTACTTGATCCTTTCATAAAATCATGAAATAAAATTTAAATACAATTTTGGCTTTACATGTTTAGAAATGCACTAGCATCTTATCATCTATGATTACCTTTTTGTTTCTTAAACCTTTGTGATTTCTGAAAAGATATTGGTCCTTTTGATACTTCTGAAGTTTTAACATCATAAGCACCTGGAGATGGCGCACATCCTAGAGAAAACATAAGACATGAATATGTCATCTAATGTTATTTATGGTTTTAAGTTAAAGACATGTTATTAAAAGCTGGGTGTGGTGGTGCACGTCTGTAATCCCAGCACACAGGAGGCTGAGGCACAAGGATTTTGAGCTCAAGGCCTGTCTGGGCTACAAGCGAGACCATGTCTCTAGAAGAAGAAAAAAAGTAAAATCTTTACACTGTGCAGTCTCACTAAAAATGTAGTCCTAAATATGAAGGCATTTCAGAGTGCTTACGCATATTATTATCAGCAATAATAAAAATATTATTAGCAGAAAACTTCTTTAGCTGGTTTGAATCCAACAATTAAAGCTATTTACTTCAGTCGAGAATCTCATGCACAAAAAGGAACAGGAAGGAGTACTGACCATTCCATAGCAACTACTGTTGTCCCCTAAGTACTCTTCAAATGACAGGGGCTTATTAATGGATCTTGACAAGCATTTAAAACAAAGTGAAATACAACAGAAAATATCAGGATGACATACAGGTTAGACATTATTTTGTAGAGCTTTTTTTCAGTTATATTTGTAGAAATACTAAACAATATCTTAGGCAGAAATATAAAATGTGTATCTCATTCTGATATATGGTTTAAAAAGTATTAAAGTGACTGTTGATCTTGACGAGGTCAGAATTCCTACATGTCACCAACTGTTTACACCCTAAAGTGAACAGTGAGGTGACAGGGGTTCCCTAAAATCAGCCTAAGTGTGGATTACCTATTTTATTCACTTGGGATAGAGAAAGAAGGTAATTGGGACATACAGTACTTGAAAAGTGAAAAGACTTCAGATAAAACTTCTACCACTACTTGCTTTTTGGGGGGAAGAGAACAGGGGTTGTCATCCTTTGCTGTTATTAGAGATGCTTCTGTGGAAAAGTGTAGGAATCACTGCTGTAAGCTGGCAAACATCCAGGGAAAAAAATCCAAATTCTAGTATTCTAGTCCTCACTGAGCCCATACTTTCTTCTTCTTTTTTTTTTTTTCTTTTTTTAATGATGCCCTCAATATGGATTTTTTTTTTTTTTTGGCAGTGCTGAGGTTTGAACTTAGGGCCTCACACTTGCTAGGCTGGCACTCTTATCACTTGAGCCACTCCACCAGCAGAGCCCATACTTTCAAAGAACTTAAGGACTAGTAAAAGTAGGACAGTGGTCAGTGACTAAGCAGCATCATCCAAGTTGTGAACAATTAAGACGACTATACTGAAAAACTCTTCCCTAAGGATTCTAGTCAAATTTTAGTTATGGGGATTTGGATTCAAGAAGAACTAGGTCAAGTCCCAGCCTGTGCACTTACCAACACTGTTTAAGAGATTGTGGCAAATGCAATTTTCTGTGCAGTTTCCTTGCCAGCACTTGCATGTACTAGATCACTGATACAACCTGTTAGAAATTAGGGGAGAGAAGCTCCCACGTGTGGCACACACCCCAATCTCAGCTACTTGGAGACAGAGGCAGAACTCGAGGCCACCCTGGGCAAAGTGAGGAGACGCTAGGAAACCCTATCTCAAGATAAAATAAAAAACAAAAGGGCTGGGAATGTGACTCAACTGGTAAGAACACTTGCTAGACCAGCATAAGGCCCTGGTACTTCTCCCACCATACCACACACAACAACAACTACCAACCTCCCCCAAAAAAGAAACAGGGTAATTCTTTTGATACTTAGGACACAATATGGTCCTTGAGTCCTTTCATTAAGAAAAGGAGCTTGTGCTGACAAACTTACTGGCCTTCCTTTGTGAACAGAGTGAGCACATTTCCATTTGTATGTTGGCTGGTAAGTTACAGATGAAATGAGTGACCACTTAATGTTGAGTATTACAATGGATAAATAGTGGGCTTTGATGTTGATGTTAGCATCTACTAACTGATACCAAGCACACCTAAGTTAATAATGCTGAGACACTGCAGCAGTTAAGAGCAGGCAATCAGACCCTAGTTCTGTAAATTTGGTTTCATATACTAGTGAGAAAATTTTTAGTCCCATTGTTTTATCTTTTCACTTACTTTAAAAAGAATTAAATTTTAACTGATGCACAAAACACATAAGTTGTATATATTTATGGAACACCATGTGGCATTTCCAGACGTGTATATATGGTGTAATGTTTAAATTAGGATTAACATCTCTCTCGTTGTTTCTTTTCCTTGGTGGTGTTTGGGTTTGAACTGCCTCAAGTTTACTAGGCTGGCACTCTATCACTTAAGCCACTCCACCAACCCCGTTTTGTGTTGGGTGTTTCTGAGATAAAGCTGTGCTCCTCCTGTGCAGCTAGGATTACAGGCCTGAGACACCCAGCCCTCATTGTTTCTTAATGGTGAAAACACTAAAATCCATTCTAGCTTTTTGGGATATACAGAACATTACTATTATCTAGAGTTGAATTACTGTGTCCCAAAGTAAGTTGCAGTGTTTTACCAATACAACAGTGAATAGGATTACCCAGGGGTTGTTGGGAAATTAAAAAGCAACAACTGATGCATATCAATAGTACGTTGGTTGTGGTATGTGATGGTAGTTACTTCTACTTATGCTGCATTCTTATTTGGGTGGTACTGGGGTTTGAACTCAGGGCCTCAGCTTGCTAGCCAGGCTCTCCAGCACTGAGTCACGCCCCAGCCCACTTAGCTCTCAGTTTTTGGATAAGGTCTAAGGTTTTCGCCCAGCACCCAACGGTCCTGTGGATGTAGCTAGGGAGACAAGTGCGCAGGCGCTACGCACCCAGCTCTCATTGGTTGAGATGAGAGAGAGGAGAGAGGGGAGGAGAGAGAGAGAGAGGAAGAGAGAAGGGAGAGAGGAAAAGAAGGAGAGAGGAAGAGAGGAAGAGGGAAGGGAGAGAGAGAGAGAGGAAGAGAGAAGAGAGAGAGGGAGAGAGAGGAGAGACGGGAGAGAGGGAGAGGATAGGGAGAGAGGAGAGGGAGAGAGAGAGAGGGAGGAGACAGAGAGGGAGAGGAGAGAGAGAGAGAGAGGAGAGACAGAGGGGAGAGAGAGGGAGAGAGAAGGGGGAGAGAGAGGGAGAGGAAGAGGAGAGAGAGAGAGAGAAGAGGGAGAGAGGAGGGAGAGAGGGGAGAGAGAGAAGAGAGAGGAAGACAGAGGGGAAGGAGAGGATAGGGAAGAGAAGAGGAGAGAGAGGAGAGAGGGGAGAAGGAGAGAGGGGAGAGAGAGGAAGAGACAGAGGGAGAGAGACAGAGAGAAGAGAGAGAGGAGAGAGAGAGGAGAGAGAAGAGAGAGAGAGAGAGAGAGAGAGAGAGAGAGAGAGAGAGAGAGAGAGAGAGAGAGAGAGAGAGAGAGGAGACAGAGAGGGGAGGCAGAGAGAGAGACCCGTCTAAACTTCTGTCCTCTGTACTCCCGGCGGCCTGGATTCCAGGCGTTGTCCGCGCTGCTCTCTAACTTGACCCCACAGCGGCTTCCCCTCACCCTTCAGGCCGAGCGGCAGGCGTCCCCAAGCTCGGGCGAGAACGCGCCGCCGAGCGCCTGCGCCACGCCGGCCAGGCCGGGGCCAGCTCCGGGGGGCAGGGGCTGCTTCGCTCTCGGGTGCACCCGGCATCCCGACGCCGCTCGCACGTGTGACGTGCATTTAATAAAGACAGAGAGCCCCATTCCGCCCGAAAATGGCCTCTGGCTCGCCGCCGGGGAAGGAGACCAAGGAGGGCGAGGGGGGTCAGAACGTCTCCCATTCCCACCCTGCTCCTCCCCGCCGTACGCACCGGAAGGGTCATTGAATCTTTTCAGGGGCGCCTTAGAAAAAGACATTCTGGCGGCCACCGGCTCCAAATGCGAAAAATCGCTCAGGAATTGCCGGCGGACCGTCACTGCCTGCGCATTTGAATTCGAATCGCCTAGCACAGACTCCGCCCACCTCGACGTAAGCCAATTGGAAAGCTGACAGCCGGAGGCTGACCAATCCATTACGGGGACAGCAGTGGAGTATGCGCAGTAGGGTCTTCTCACATCCAATTAGGTGACCTGTACGATTAGACTGCCAGCCAATAGGAGGCCGTTACTCTTCGCCGCAACCCCGCCCAATCATTTCTAACGACGCTCAACCGTAACTTGTGCAGGAGCGGCAGTTGCGCAAGCGCACCTCTCAACTGGCGAGTTCTAGATCTCTCATTTTGGCGTCATATACGTGAGCGGGTGATGCCTGCCTGACTGGTTCCAACCCTCCCTCATCGTTCTTTGGATGTCAAGTTTTCTGGGTCTTTCTAAACGGATCCTGTCAGTGTCCTAAATGGGCTTTGAAAGGGGAAAACGAACTCCCACGGAGGACGGGCTTGGGCTCCTGCGCATGCGCAGACCCGAGCGAGGCCGCGGCGTCACCCGAGCGTGGGGGGCGCGCACGCGCACGGCGCGCTGGTGCGGCCGTACCGGGAGGTGCCTGTAGCATGTCAGCCCCGTTTGAGGAGCGCAGTGGGGTGGTTCCGTGCGCGACGCCGTGGGGCCAGTGGTACCAAACCTTGGAGGAGGTGTTCATTGAAGTTCAAGTGCCGCCGGGCACCCGCGCCCAGGATATCCAGTGCGGGCTGCAGAGCCGGCACGTTGCGCTGGCCGTGGGCGGCCGCGACATCCTGAAGGTAGAGGCACAGGTCGGGCTGGGGCTCCGAGTCTTCTCCCCGACCCGGGGGACAGGCGGGAAAAGCGGGAAAATGGCCTTGGTTTGGTCTGATAGGAGCATATATCCAGTGGCGGAAATGTGTGAAGATCTCATTTTATTTTTTATTTTTTTTGGTGGAACTGGGATTTGAACTCAGGGCTCCTTGCTTACAAAGCGGGTGCTCTACTGCTTGAGCCACTCCTTCAGCCCGTTTTTGCGCTGGTTATTTCGGAGATGGGCTCTCGGGAATTACGCCCCCCAGGTGACCTCTGATCGCGATGCTCCCACGTGGCGAGGGTTCCAGGCGTGCACCGTCGCGCTTCTTTTCCGGCTTATCTCACTAATAAGTCAGCCTGCTTCTGCTTATTCCTTCGAGGGTCCTCTCTGGGAACAGCTTAACAGGTACTGCACGTGAGCTGTGTTCCAGGGATCAAGGCCAGGAGATCGGTGGCCTCCGTTCATAGTTAGTAAAGGTGTCCCAGGTGTAGGAAAGTACATCAGAGAGAGGCTAGGGTAACAGGAGGCGGGTTTGGAGGCCATGTCAGTGTTTACTTTCTCATCTAAAACTAGAAATTCTCCTGCAAGTTTGTGAGGAGGTCAAGGAGACAGTGAAGAGATGTGTGGATGCAGTAATTAGGGCCTGTTTTGTTTTGTTTTCCCGATGCCCTTTGAATCCGAGGCCCACTTTGTCATGTTAATTCTATATTAAAGCTCAATTAAGATTTTGAAGTTGGATTTCATTCTCAGGTCGATGCCCTAGATGTTTAATGGCCCCTTAGGGCAGCGTGAAGGGATAACACACGGTGGGATACCGGCTCTGCTAAGGCTCTGGTTTTGTGGCCTTGGATTAGAGGTTGCGTCTCAGGTGGCCTCCTCCTCGTCGGGGACATGGTCATTACGGTCAGCTGTCATGGGCGGGCTGGTTTGGCAGAGCGGGGTCTCCACCTCACTGAAGGACTTGGACTATGCTGGGCCTGTCAAGAAGCCCACACTGCAGTTCAGCTCCTGTTTTGCAGAAGTGCTGGGAGTGCTGAGAAGGTTCATGGGAAGGACGTTGGTTTTTGTCCACTCGGATGACAGTGACTTCAGAATAGCTGTACAATTCAGTTTCCTGAGTTAGGGTTTAAGATGGTAATTCAGATTTACTTTAGAAAGTTTACTAATGTAAATTTAGCAAAAACTGTGGGACTTTTAGATGTACATATGTACCAGTAGGATTTTTTTTTTCATTAGTATGAACATTTTAAAAAGAAAAGGCTAGGGTGCTGTAGGTGTGGCTCAAGCAGTAGGGGAAAAAAGTACAAAGTTTATAGATTATTGTGGTGACATTTTAATTTCATTTTCTGTAAATTCAGTTTGTCAACAAATTAAAATATTTTTGAGACTGTATCTTTTTTTTTTTTTTTGGTGTTCCTGGGGTTTGAACTCAGGGTCTTGTACTTGCTAAGCAGGAGTTTTCTTTCACTTGAGCGGCATCACCAGCTCCTCCGATTTCATTAAAAGAGTTTGAAAAATTGTATGGTGAGAATACTGTGCAGATATGTATGCAAATGGGAAAATGTTAACTATTCCACGAATGGGAGGAGGGAGGTAAAGGAGAATGATGGAGGGGGTAAATTTGACTGTGGTGTATTTGATGTATTGTAAGTACTTTTGTAAGCATCACACTGTACCCTCAGCATGACAGTTTCAAAAAGAAAAATTAGTCATAGCTAGTCTAACATCAAATCTACATAAGCTTTAAGCTTTTTTAAAAATATCAATTGCCTAACAAAAAAGATTGAACCAGTTTTTTTTAAAGTTTCTTTTAAAAGATAGCATTTCTGCCAGGTGTGCTGGTACATGCCTGTAGCCCCAGCTACTCCGGGAAGTAGAGGTAGGAGCAGAACAAAAGCACAAGACTTTATCTGAGAAACAAACTAAAGCAGAAATGGTTGGGAGGTGAATTAAGTGTTAGAGCGCTTGCTTAGCAAGTGTGAGGCTCTGAGTTCAAACCCCAGTACTGCCCCCCCAAATTATATGTGTGTGTGCATATATATATATATAGCATTTCTTAATTTTAGCAGATCCCTTCTCATAGTTCATTTTAATTGGTAAAATTGAAGCATTTTATGTGTTATTTTCACATTTGGCCAAAATGATCAGTAGTGTTTCACCATGTAACAAATTAAGGTGACCTCATCTTTCTTTTGAAAATGCTGTTTTTTTGTTTGTAGTAAATATTCCAAATTCTTTAAACTGGTTCTGTTAACTCACTAGGAAGAAGCATAATAAGAGCACTTAGAAATGTGGTAAAATGGTATAAGATGTAGCTTAGGTTGAAATTAGTTACATGTTAATCATGAAAGCTTTATAAAACTTGATGAAATGCTATATTTTTAGTACCTCATGTTTATTTTTTGTTTTTTTGCATTATAAAATTTGTGTAAGCATTCCTATGTTTATTTTTCAGGGCAAACTCTTTGATTCTACAATAGCTGATGAGGGAACATGGACTTTGGGTAAGAATACTTCATAGAATCTCTTAAAATTAATTCTGTGTTGGTTGTTAGTAACTTTCTCCCTTTTTTATCAAGTCCTTTTGTCTTTGTAGCTTTGAAAGACAGAAATGTGTTTAAAAAATTGTCAAAATTGCCTAATGAGTCTTAAAAAATAAAAAATTCAATGATGAATTCTAATTGCTTTGTAACTTTTTTTTTTTTTTTAAGAGGATAGGAAAATGGTCCGCATTGTTCTTACAAAGACAAAGAGAGATGCAGCAAATTGCTGGACTTCCCTTCTGGAATCTGAATATGCAGCTGACCCTTGGGTACAAGACCAAATGCAGAGAAAGCTAACGTTAGAGAGATTCCAGAAAGAAGTAAGTCAGAGGAGTACATAAGTACCTGTAGTTAAAGAATCTAACTATCATAAATTAATTTTACTGTTTGAAATTAAAGCTCAAATGTGGTTATAAGAAGTTATGAAAATTCTTTGGAGGAATACTGAAAGTAAATGGTGGCAAGAATGGTATATGTGTGGACTTCTAATGTTTCTTCTTGAGAAGGATGTTTGCACTCCTGTGATATTTGTACTGCTGTGATATCTGAGTTTATGTTTACTTAGTGCACACCACCAATTCATAAAAAATTATAAAAATTGAGCCAATATAGACTTACATAGTATTAAAAAAGTGAATGTTTCCTTCACTGTCATTCCCCCATTCCATACCTCTGTCTCATTTTCATTTTATTTATTAGCCTTTTTGTTTCCTTTTTAACATAAATGGAGGCTCACACTGTGTTTACTGCTTTTACTGTTGTTCTTTCCTTTAATAGTATGTCATGGGTCTCTTTCCCTTCTACGGCATACAGGTAAAACTTATTCCTTGCTTTAGTTGTTTAGTTTGAATGTATCATAATGACTTCTTTAACTCTTTCTCTTTGATATGATTTTGATTTCTCTATTTTATTTTTTTTTTGTTCTATTTTTCTCTATCTTAAACAAACTTGTACATTCATCTCTGAAACTGTTCAAGTCTTCCAAGATAGGTATCTTTTTTTTTTTTTAATTCATATGTGCATACATTGTTTGGGTCATTTCTCCCCCCTTCCCCTACACCCTCTGTTACCCCCCCCCACCTCTCACTACCAGGCAGAAACTATTCTGCAATTATCTCTAATTTTGTAGAAGAGAGAGTATAAGCAATAATAGGAAGGAATAAGGGTTTTTGCTGGTTGAGATAAGGATAACTATACAGCGAGTTGACATGCATTGATTTCCTGTACATGTGTGTTACCTTCTAAGTTAATTCTTCTTGAACTAACCTTTTCTCTAGTTCCTGGTCCTCTTCTCCTATTGGCCTCAGTTGCTTTAAAGTATCTGCTTTAGTTTCTCTGCGTTGAGAGCAACAAATGCTATCTAGTTTTTTGGGTGTCTTACCTATCCTTATACCTCCCTTGTGTTGCTCTTGCTTTTATCATGTGACAAGTCCAGTCCCTTGTGTGTGTTTTGCCCTTGATCTGATGTCCGCATATGAGGGAGAACATACGATTTTTGGTCTTTTGGGCCAGGCTAACCTCACTCAGAATGATGTTCTCCAATTTCATCCATTTACCAGCGAATGATAACATTTCGTTCTTTTTCATGGCTGCATAAAATTCCATTGTGTATAGATACCACATTTTCTTAATCCATTCTTCAGTAGTGGAGCATCTTGGCTGTTTCCATAACTTGGCTCTTGGTGAATAGTGCTGCAATAAAACATGGTGTGCAGGTGCCTCTGAATAACCTGAGTCACATTCTTTGGGTATATCCCAAGAGTGGTATTGTTGGATCAAATGGTAGATCAATGTATAGCTTTTTAAGTAACCTCCAAATTTTTTCCCAAGTGGTTGTACTAGTTTACATTCCCACCAAACAGCGTAGAGGATTCCTTTTTCCCCCATCCTCGCCAACACCTGTTGTTGGTGGTGTGCTAATGATGGCTATTCTAACAGGGGTGAGGTGGAATCTTAGTGTGGTTTTAATTTGCATTTCCTTTATTGCTAGAGATGGTGAGCATTTTTTTCATGTGTTTTTTGGCCATTTGAATTTCTTCTTTGAGAAAGTTCTGTTTAGTTCACAGTGCCCATTTCTTTATTGGTCATTAGTTTTGGGAGAATTTAGTTTTTTAAGTTCCCTATATATTCTGGTTATCAGTCCTTTGTCTGATGTGTAGCTGGCAAATATTTTCTCCCACTCTGTGGTGTTCTCTTCAGTTTAGAGACCATTTCTTTTGTTGAGCAGAAGCTTTTTAGTTTTATGAAGTTCCATTTATCTATGCTCAAGATAGTCATCTTTAAGATAACATCTAGGAGAAGAATTACTTAAAGAAGTTTTAGTGGATAATTTCCTTCTATTTCATGGTGATTTTTAAATGTCTGTCCAGACTTTTCTCTTGAATTTTGGATCTGCATGTCCAGTTACCTATTCAGCATTTCTACTTGGCTAACTAACAGACATATCAAATTCAGCATGTCCAAACTGAGCACCTGAATTTCCCTCGCAGAGTTGTTCTATGTTCAGTCTTCTTACCGCAGTTCATGGAGACTAGTTTCGGGAGCAAAAAAAATTTTAAAATTTGTAAACATCTTTGATTCCTACCTCACTCACACCTTGCCCATTTTGTTACTAAATCCACTTGTGTTCTTTTCCATTTGTATCCAGAATTTGACCACTTCTCATCACCAACTCTACTATAATCACTCTGATCAGGGTCATTTCATGTGTGTTGTCTGGATTTCTTCAATTACATTCTGGTCTCCTGTTTCTACTCTTGCATAGCCACACTCCTCTCAAAATATCATGTAGAGACGTCCTTTTAAAATGCAGATGACATCATGCCACTTCTCAGAACTCTGTAAGTTGTTCCTCTTCTGTAGTAATCTGATGGCTGGCCTCTTCTTTTTTACTGATGTCCTCCTCTGTCATTCTGTTATAGTCATACTGGCCTGTCTGCTGATTCTTAAACATGATAAACTGTTCCTTTGAGGTCTTTCCGACTAGAGTGCTCTCCCATAGTGTGACTGACTTCTTCACTGTTTTCAGCTCATTTCAATGAAATACATTTTGATTATCCCATTTAATGCAATAATTTTCTCCCATTCCCTTATCCTGTGCTACTTTTTATTTATTTTTTCTACAGCACTTATGAACTTTTAACACACTAGGTCAGTCACTGACAAACTAGAACCTGTGGGCCAAATTCAGCCCATGGCCTCCTTTTGTAGTTAAAGTGTTACTGCTACACATCTGTGTTCATTTGCTTTATATTATTTTCTGCACAGCAGTTTCATGTTGAGTGTTGTTGAGCGTTTATAACAGAGACTGTGGTCTGCAAAGCTTGAAGTATTTATTACCTGTTTCTTTACAGAAAACTTTGTTTATTATTTGTTTCTTCCTGCTGTAGTTTAAGCTCCACTAGAGCAGAAACCTTTGTTGTGTTTACTCTTAAGCTCCACATGCATTTAATGTTGTCTTCCAAACAGTAGAGCTAAATAAATGGATGCAGTTGCCCACTGGAAGGACTAAAATCTGAGGAAGTACTTACTGCGTAGGACTGTCTTGATTGTTAAATGTGTTAACATGTGTGTAGCTCTTAGAACCCACACTGCATATCACAGCTTCTCAAAACATGTTAGTGTCAGCC